GACCATAAAAACTTCAAAGTCACTTGCAATGACATCATCTAGTATTGTCCCGTCCGTAGCATCAGACTCTGTGTCAGCAACAGCATCAGATGTTAGCGATGCTACAGCACCTCCGCCTCCAAAAGACGAGGACATAATGCTGCAAATACGTATCCAAGTGAAGCAGACGATCAATGTTACGACTGATGCATTCAAAGACGAAATCGCACTCGGTATGTTAATGTTACCATTGTAAAGATCCTTCCCACTATAGTTCTAAGTTATAAATAAATACATTTTCAATTGAGACATTTTGGAGCGTTCATGCAAATAAAAATATTGATGATTGATTCCAATGAAGAAGTTCCAGATGTATTCCTGGTATTAACAAGCGAATGTTTCTCATGTTTTTTAAGGTCTAGCGGAGACATATAGGGAAGCATCTTCAACACGACGAAAACGACATATCCACAATGTATCTAGGTGGAAACGTCAGGAAAATGTTCAAGTTCAGGTATGTTATAATCACACTTTACAAACGGAATTCTCATCAATACTCCTTATAAAATAGTTGCCACTTTCTTCAAGTATAGCAATTATTTCATGAAGTGACAAGAAAAAGAGTACAAAGCCACACAAGTGCGGAGTACCTGTCAGTATATATTTAGAATTAGATACCATAGAGACAAGTAATGACTCAAATTGCCTCATGAAGCAGTCTCGTCTTTTAGTGCTCTTAATATGAATGTGAGAGACCGATTGCTAAGCAAGTACTTTTATATTCAAACCAGGTCTTTACGGTACTTGTGCCTCACAATGCTGGATTGTGTTTATCAAATTAGTCAGAGAGTTACGTTATCACAATATTTCTGGTCCATAACTTCAATAGGTACACTACGGAAGCCCAATGCTTTACAGTTCAGATTTCGCATGTATTGTAAATATATGGAGACAAATAATTAACTTATTGATGAGGATACTGTTAAACCCCAATATGTCGAAATAAATTTTAAAGGTAGATCAAATATGTAAAATAGATTTGACCCTAAACCATGCAGGGACGTAGAAATTCAAAATAACTGAACATGGAGTAAAAGGACTTGCGTTTTATCAGAAGGTAATTGTAACATCAAGAAGCACTACACTAGCTCGTATTTTTATAGAGACGTGTGATTCGGAACCTTGTTGGAACGCCTTATTTACACAATTAATGACTTGACAACCTGATCCTCGCGCATGTCCAATATTATCCTTGTTCTGTTTGATATTGCAAGGACTTGTATACTTGTGTATAAAACACATTACAGATATAAAGCATTTTAAGAGTATCTTATTGTAGGATATGGCTGCATAACAGTAATTTTCTGCGTTCATAACTCGATGAACTAATCATTGCTCCTCACACAGCTGAAGGTTATAAATAGTAATGTTCTATATGTGTTTTCTGTGTCCAGGTAACGAACATCACACGAGATGACAAGGCAGAGGGAGTCGACGTGACATTCTTCGTCATCGAGGATGGAACCGTAGTACCAGTGCTGACAGCGCGTGACAGATATAACCGACTAAGCCAGGTGGAGACGAGCGCTATCTTAGGTTATCCGGTGTGTACTCTGTCTGATCAGAAATATTCTCGTCCTCAGAATGAATGACGCTATGATCTAGGAGGGAGAAAGAGAGTCGATGAGATAGAAAATAAAGATAAGAATCTAAAGATGACTTCAGAGTAAAAGAAATTATTTAGAGTTACCAATATCCTCTTATTGAAGACAACAAAACATGCAAAGGGGTGGTACAATATACATTAGATCTACAATATATACTTTCTCCATATCCGAAAAAAGAGTAGGGATCATTGAAAGTGCGTGAATTGCGCAACAGTCAGAACGTTTGTCTACATTGAATTCTTTACATGTTCGCTATTCTTTATCTCCTAGGTCTTAGACCCGGTGTCCCTGGCGCTGTTGGAACCTGAGACGGAGGACGAAGATGAACTGCTTGGCCCTCTTACAATACTCCTCATTGGTGTGCCTTCAGCAGTCGTAATCGTGCTAACACTGGCCTATTTCCTTATGCACTGTAATGACCAACCCCGGACCGGAGCGAGGTCCTCGGTAAAGTCCGACCACAGTGGATCTTGCCAGGTAGGGCCGGCGTATCGTGCATACTCTGGGGCATGTTCATGTTACATATCCTTGGGGATGTTACGTACCCCAGGGGCTTGTTCAGGTTAGGTACCCCGGGGGCTGTTAATCTTTCGTACTCCGCGGGTTGTTCATGTTTCGTACCCCGGGGTCTATTCATGTAACATACCGTAACATCCATTATCTTAGTTTCAAAAAACAAATCCGAGTCGATCATGGCACGGAATGTCCACTTCTCTAGCGAAAATTATCTACCATTGTCAACCCATGTCAATCATGGTACGGAATGCTCACTTCTCGAGTGAATATTATCTACCATTGTCAACCCATGTCAATCATGGTACGGAATGCTCACTTCTCTAGCGAAAATTATCTACCATTGTCAACCCATGTCAATCATGGTACGGAATGCTCACTTCTCGAGTGAATATTATCTACCATTGTCAACCCATGTCAATCATGGTACGGAATGCTCACTTCTCTAGCGAAAATTATCTACCATTGTCAACCCATGTCAATCATGGTACGGAATGCTCACTTCTCTAGCGAAAAATAACTACCATTGTCAACCCATGTCAATCATGGTACGGAATGCTCACTTCTCGAGTGAATATTATCTACCATTGTCAAGCCATGTCAGTCATGGTACGGAATGCTCACTTCTCGAGTGAATATTGTCTACCATTGTCAACCCGAGTCAGTCATGGTACGGAATGTCCACTTCTTGAATGAATATTGTCTACCATTGTCAGCCTAGCTCAGTCATAGTGTCTACCATTGTTGACTGTAAACGCATACGATTGATATAGTTAATATTTTCTATTATAGAAATGCGAGTCGCTTGCAGACCATGACCTAGTAATCGACATGGAGAAGGGGGACATTGTCAGCCGTTCCTCGGTCGGTAGTGGTAGATCGACCGCACAGAGGACGTCAGCTTGGCTTCGGACAATGTGGGACGAACAGGACTATGACGTCACTGACGTGAAACAGCCGTGTCAAGAGGAAATTGATGACGAATGGGACACCCTAAGTATCACACTAAAATCGAGATCTTGGTCTCTAAAGAGTTATCCCTTCATTGACAAAGAGTTGAGGGCAAAAGACGTTCACAATAATGGAAGTTTACACATATTTACACTTCCTGATACTAACCTCGATGAGGTTTCCCGAGCTGTTCAGCCAGATCAACCAAGATTTGATATCATCGGCGACAGAAAGAACCATATTCTAGGGCTTCAAGAAACAGATATTGGTAATATTGATAAACCTCGAAGTATTGAAATCACCCAAGTTGTGCGACAAGATCCATTACATAGGCAGGAGCAGTCCAGATCAAAACGGAAACCTAGTGAATCTTTCAGAGAGCCAGCGTTAGATAACTCCGTTTCCGGTATGAGACACAGAGAACCGTACGTAGGAAAAAGGCAAAAGCGACAATATAAAACCAATCCCAGGAGAAAGTGGAAGCGTAGAAAAGCCTTCAAACACAAATACGAAGGTTTTGCCAACAGATTTCAACCTGATAATCCGACTTCAGGTGCATTACAGAATGGAAAGCTACATCCACATCAAGGCACAGGTCCACTTCCAGATCGATTTGAAATGGCGTCTACGTATTTTGGACCACGTAATGGTGATTCTGGAATACGACAATTTGAAGGATGTGACACTAACAGGTCATACCCAGTATTACATAGTACAGATTTGCTCGGATGTCGAGCCATGTCAACAACGTCAACACACAAATCAGACGATCAGTTCCCGGCACCATCTACGTACTACGGATCACAGCTTTCCGATGGATACGTACCGTTGGGAGATGGTGGAAAACAGATTGGGGACCAAGATACGATACCTATGAGAGCTGTTCATTTTGGAGAAATCGATGTTATACCAGAGTTACTCAAAGGGAATGTTTGTCCTGATTTTACACGAGAAGATAACGCCAACATGCATGTCACTGGATTTAGAGAATTGCCTCATTCAACGATAAATGAGACTGCTGAATATCCCAATTTCGAGTCGATGCTTCCACACAAAAGTGGCGATACTGAAAAGCTTATAACCATGCATCAGAAAAGAAAATGTGTGCATGGATTCTCTAATCAAATATTCGAAAATTATGAGAAGACTCCGATAGTTTGTTTGGAAGAAAAGGATCTACAAAACCAGTTTTACTTCGCTTACGACGAAAGTCAGAAACAAGAGGCGCCATTGTCTATCATTGACGATGGATTGTACATTATAGGTGACAACGAGCATCACATAGACAACAGGACCACTACACAACATATGGATCCGGTATATGCCAACCATTCACAAGATCGGCTGTTTAAAGACTCCGTGACTGGTCGAAGGTGGGCAGGCGGTTTCGACAACTCAGGGCTATTTGGCTTAGGTGATGTGACCAGACACGACCCCAAAATACAACCTACTTACATATATCTCTCAGGTGTGTCCAACAACAGCTGTACTGAAGACGGTGAGTTATCACTCGGTGGACACACCTGGCGTGGGCAAGACTCTCAGGGGGTGACTAGGCGTGGGTCCGACTCTCAAGAGGGGACTGGGCGTGCCCCCAAATCTCAGGGGGTCACTGGGCGTGAGTCTGACCCCTGGAAATATTCTGAGCGTGTGGCAAAATCCAAAGAACACACTGGAAGTGTCTTCCATTCTTGGAGACAAAATGGGCATGATTTGGACCCCTGGAAACACACTGGGCTTGGATCAGATCGCTGGGGAGGTACTGGGAGAGGGTCAGATTCCAGAGGACACTATGGACAAGGACAATCTGGAGCAGAAAAATCAAGTGAACAAATTCATTACCAAGATGGAAACTTCGCAACGGTGGGAACCGATAATTCCCAGCAGTTTTGGGTCGATGGCCAAAATGTGGAAAACAGACAAGTACAACGATCGGAACCACCGAAGATGTTAAGTCACCAACAAACACAATATATAGATTATGGACATAACTACCAGGTTATGGAAACAAGATTCCCATCATTTCCAACTGGATATCCGCTAAACAACTACGACACCAATCCAGCCATTGTGATTTCACCTGTACCACTAGAACACAATGACCTGTATGTACCTGTTCAGGAAGTGTCTACACAAAACTTAAGGTGAGTTATTACCAGTGATGGAAAATCGTTATAAGTCTCCATTACATTGGAGGTTTTTATTTTACCGAGACCTGTGCATGGTCAAGTAGCAAATTCCTGAAAAATTTCTTATGTGAAGACGAATTTAATACATGAAATAAATTCGAAACTTTTGCAAACTTTCATGAAAATATTTTATTACAAAATCTAAATTGGCGATATTCTTTCTCTTTGTATCTCTTTTTTTGCGACGTCACAATGCATATGACAGCGGAGGTAAGGTCAAATGAAAAACAAGATATGCTTATGAAAAACTATGCCCCAAGTTACAACATAATTCTGAAGTGGGACATTAAAACTCTACTGTGTATGGCATGTGCTAAATGCATGACACTTTGTGAAACACTTGCTGCCATCTCGTCACACGAATTTCAATCTTAGTGTACATAGGATTATGATACAGCCGAAAAAATTTTGATTCCATGAAAAGAACATACAGGCCAATTATGAAAGCCCTGCCTCTTATGATACAATAGTTATGGGCAAGGTTAAAGTTCACACAAGGTAGACAGCACAAAATCAATATGCCCCCGATTTTCTATCCATGGGCCAGGTTTCAAACATCCCATATCCATGAAAATTCGAGTGAGATCCGCCTTTTATACGATGAGTGTTACTGATGACAGGGTGCATATAGTTATACTTAGCAAAATAACTCTTGCAGGTTAGATAAACCAAAACGTCAGGAAGGGAGAAAACTCGTGCGATCTTGTCTGATTACAAACTATATTGAATTTTCTGAAATAATCACTACAGGATTCAAGGAATATTGCTTTCTGTATGCAAAAACATGTTTTCCTAACCCAGATGACTCTTTCCCATAGACCATTTCAAACTTGAATACACACTTCAAACAGAAAAGTATTCAAACTAGATTGGAATGGTTGTCTCCGACAACAAAGAGGGGCTCCCTGAAAATTCAAGTGTGCTATGAAACTATGGTTACGTGTTAAGTCCTGTGCATGTTGAATAAATTACTTAAAACTGTTGTATGTCCGTGTAGGTGAATACCGTGGTATTAGCGTCAACGGAGGGGACATCTTCAACAGGTTAATTGTTTGAATTTCTATTGAAATGCCCTTTCCATTGAACCAACGTTTCTATAGTTACTGTATAAATATGATGTAAAAAGTATGAAACTGTTTAATATCGCCAAAATACAACTTACGATATATGTTTAACACATGAAAACTACGATCAACTTCATTTCCGGATATTACAAACATACCATCCCCGATACTCCAGGGGTTACAATCACTTCCGCTTCCTCCACCCCTTGACTATATCATGGAAAAATTGAAGGTTCCATGTGCGACACCTCGTGGACAAGACGAAAAGACTAGTTTGATACTTTGATGTACATCAAACGAATTTCGAGGTCGCATAACGTTATATTGTAATGGCTATGAAGTTGGGTGTCGCTTCTTTGTAATCTTTAAAGGAACGTATCAGCCTGTGATTGGTCAGATTTTTTTTCTGTCGGAACCAATTAAGTTACTTCGTTTGTGCCTTCAGTTTGGCCATGAAATGTTTCAGTGGTGTAGAGAGCGAAAGTGGTCGTAACCCCTGGAATATCTAGGATGCAAACATGTGTTAAATTCCGTAGCTAGTTTGGGTTTTGCGCATAAGTGTTGGTGTTTAATATTTCTGTGTTAATATAATCAACGAGACATTCAATTAACAGAAATGTGACAGATACAGTGATATTGTCCATAGTTATGTAAGACAGACAGAAAAGTTATCCCCTGTTGAGGTCAGGTGGGGGACCTCAACCTGAAGTGAAAGATTATTATGTCAGAAAACATTAAGCTTGACAAGTTTGAAGATATTCCGGTAGAAGCTGGAAGCACGTTACAGATGTCACATCCTGTTACAATTATACCACAAGCAGACAAAATACGTTTCTACAGTCAGATATCATTCTTACTCAGAAAAAAAGGAAATCACGGTTACCTAGACTGAGTGACGGGTAAAAACTTCTGACAATCTAACATCATATCAATCTCAGTAAACATTTATCTTACATTTATTTGAGTATATTGTTTGAACAATACTTGTCGCGACATATTTGCAGACTTACTACTGAAGTCGTCCCTAATCATGTTTACAATCAGGTCTCTCCACCACCTTTACGTATATTAATTCTTAAACTTTTAATCCTTGTTTCCCTTTTTGTATTGTAATAAAGATTTTTTTCAGTACGGATGATTCCAAACCATTGTTCAGTAACTTCGAGATAATAAGAATTGGGCCGACAATAACGCTCCCATCTTGTTACTAATATGTTCCTGTAGCAGATAAAATTAATTTTAAAGTATGTCATGCATAACACACACTATTTTAGAAGTACGAAGCTAACAAGTTTTGTTTTACACAAACATCTGTGATTATTCTTCCATCATTTCTATGACAGTTTACCGTATACATTGTCCGTTATGACATATTTTAACCTGTATATTACAAACCGATTATGTGCGCTTATAGTTGGGTACCCTGCATCTCCAGCCTTTGGTATTTTCGTGTCACAGTTGATTCAATATTCCCGATTTTCGTGACTGACGGACCAACTCTAACATCGGGGTTCCAACGATGCAAATTGGTGAAATATTATGGGGAAGTTTTATGGTCGCCATGGTGATCTCATTAAGAAATATTTTATTTTTTAGTGATATGAAACTGGATGTGTTTGAAGCTTGTTGTATACCTTGTTCTCATTTGAGAACAAGACATTACTTAGTTGAATTAAATGGTGGGTGTCGTCGATGAAGCAAAAGACGCTTACTCTTCCGGAACACCTGGTATTCATCTCCTTGTACTTTTTCAGGAGTCTCCATTTAGATCTTTCTTTTGTTCGTGTTTTGACTTAGTTTTATGATATTTGATTTTGGATTATGATTATGTTGTCATGTTGGTATGTTCTTGATTTTTTTAATCAGTCTTTATCTATACACAAATAGGTAGATCAAGCACTGTACATATGACAATATTTTTGTTATCTATCTGTGACTTACAGTCTGTGTTTGTGTTCTATCCGACTAGGACTCGCCTAGCGTCTGCGGGGCCAATCCCAAGATATACTGATAACAACAACAACAGGTTCAATACTTAAACCCTGAGAGATAAGTGTCTGAAAAATGATATGTAAATCACAATGATGATAAAAATTGTAAAATTGTACTGATCGTTTGCCGTGAACGAAAGCCAAAACGACAGTACCTTATGTCTGAATGGGACGGTTTTTCATATCAGTCGTACTGTAGTGTACACATCACTTACATATATACTGTTTTGATACCAGTTATGGTCATTTTAAATGACATAACTTCGCCCCTTGCGTCCCCAATAGGGGCCTTGCCCCCTGTACCCCCATTAGGGGAGGACCTCCAAACCCCTTTCTTACTTAGACTTTGAAAGAAAACGGTGTTGCTCGGACAACGGCAACATCGTCCGCCACTGATAAGCTCGATAGATAACACACAAATCAAAATAAAACCTTTTCCTGAAATACATATACTGAGAGGAAAAAGAAACGCAATTAGCAGAAAGTTAATAATGTAAATTAAATCCTTGACGTACACCCTTGAAACTTACAAATGTGCACGTTTGATTTAGGTCCCTGTGGTACCGTATTAAAATCACTGATGCATAACTAAACTGCGCACGTCGCTTGTACAAAAGAATAAGAGACAAAAGCACGATATCTCAAACCCAGTATAAAGGATTGGTTCAAAATCTGTGTGTTCGAATCTTATATCCGTCTTGATTTCCCACATTTTAAGCATAAACAGTTCACCGTAAAAAATGCCACGACTGTCCGAAGTTGACACACACGATATCGATGGGTCCAGAACGCACTTCATTTTGAGTGGTGTACTCTTGAATCAACGTCAATTTTGAAAGGTTTACTTAACGTACACGAATGAAATTCTCGTAGATGACAGAGTGGTCAACTATCTTCCAGTTACACCATAATTACATTCTAAAACCCTTTTCTATTTCCTGTAGTTGACCTGGAAATTCCTAATTGCGTTTCTTTTTCCTCTCAGTATATATAACTATTATGCTGCAGAAATACGGACTCGCACGGATCATTTCCAATAACAAAAAACCTTGTAAACACTTCCCATCATTATAACACACATCGCAGTATCATTAAAAATGAAACAGAAATATGAAGGATGAAGGGCCTATGTTTTACACCATATGTTTTCCAGTGTTTTAACTTCTTTTCTTTATTTACTGGGCACGGAGAATTCACCACATTTTCAATATATATAGAGAAAAAAAGCCAGCTCTAAGATGGTCGGTTGAAAGTAAAGAAGATACTCAAAGATTATAAAGAAATAGTATAATTATAAAATTTGTGATTATTACAATGATACAATAGTTCAAAGAACATTTCTCCGCCCACACACGGCCCAATTGTACAAGTGTACAGAACTATGGCCTCTAGACCTGTCGCCCAAAACGAAATGTGACATAATGCATATATATTTGTGTACAAATGTCCATAGTTACGAAGCAAAGAAAAACATAATTCACATCAGTAATAAGAGAATATTCATTGACAGGGTCGTAGGCGACATAGAAAGGCATGATAATACAATAAATTTAGTTATTTGAATTGAAATAAGCCAGGTATTTATAATCCAGAATTAAATCTCCCGGGTATGGGAGCCTCGTTTTGACACCCGTGCGACACTCCGAGCCGTTTTGCGTTTGTCGTTATGATTACCAATGGCATCGTGACAACGAAAACAACACCGGGCACCTGTCTCGTCAAGTAACACGTAAAGTGTATGTCAGAAACAAAATGTCGGACAAGGGATTAACGATTAACTTTAATCACTGTAAGTATTAAAAAAACATTTGAACTGTTGATGTGTAGAAGTTAGTTTTATGATTGTCACACCTGTAATTAAGAATCTGGCCAGGTGACAAGATATATCTACAACAAGGGG